TTAATTTCCTACGAACTGAGGTAGGTGCTTCATAATATATGTTAGCTTAGACTGGCGATTAGCAGTTAATTGGCCAGAAAATAATGAAATTGACTCAGTAGCTCAAGCTGAAATGTTTCTGTGAATTGTGCCCACTGAGCTTTGTTCTGATTTATTTTGAGGTTTGGATGTCACAGCAGCTTTTGATACAATTGGCAGTGGTGCCGTTTTGGACAGCCTTACTGGAGGGGGTGTTGGGGGCATAGAGTCACAGTGACACCAATCATGAGAATATATCTTGCCCCCATACTTTTTAACACCAATTCGAAACAACGGAAGCTAATCTTAGGAAGACAGTGGAACCCTGAATTGGTGTCTGGAGAGTGTCCTAATCAAAATCAAACTATTTCAATTTCAGGAGCTGATTTTACCTTTAAATGTAAAGCCCTAAATAGTTTAGGGTCAAGTTATTTGCAGGAACCCTACAAACCTGCTAAAGCATGATGGTAGCCACCTGAGACAGAATCTTTTCTGTAGTGGCCCCACATCAATGGAATTTCCTCCTCAAAGATCTTTGTAAGACCCCTTTTTTGATTGATTTTACATGGTCTCTTAATTTTTTTTTTAGTTTTCTAAGCTTTCCCTAATGATGACTTTGTCTTTCAATGTTTAAGCCTCTCACTCTAATACAGGCTTATATTGCTTTTTCTTTGGTGTTCATTTTCTATTCTGATTGTAATAATTTTTACCTGTTGCTGGTAACTATTGTGTCATAAGAGGAGTGTAAATATTTTTAAAAAATAAGAAATGCAACAAGAACCAAATGCAGAAATACCTATTAAATTATGCCACCTTGAAATTGGGATTGCAGATCAAGAGGTAATTCAGGGAATATTTGAATTGTTACAATACATATAGTGACACAACTCTACAAACATTTGGTATTCCATAGTAATAATGTATATATTTCTATATATTAATATTTATTGATTTATTTCAACATGTATATATTTAGAAATAACAGCATCACTTCCTTCCTAGGTTGAGCTTTCTTATTGAAAAGGAAAGGAGTCTTTCACTATCAGGACCAGACGGTATCACAATACAAGTTTACTATATGAAGAACCCTCTTAATTTCCTTGGATTGCACTTCAAGAATAGTGAACTTTTTTCTAACAACATTGCTGGACTTTTTGGTATGTATTCAGATTTTGCAATGAAGTGGCAATCATCATGCTATTTACCAGTAAGCTTGGTTTTGATGTAGCACTATAACTTAATATTGTATGTCCTTGGAACAACTCTGAAAGGAAATGAGCATGAATGTCTCTACATTTCAGATGGAGTGGGGATGAGAAGGGGAGCCCTGATTTAGTGGCTTTCCTAAGTCACCTAGTCAGTTCATGACACCTTAAGTTATGTTTCAACTGGCAACTGTCTGGTTCACAGCTCAATCTCTCCGTCACTACACCAATACTTGTGAGAATTGGGGTGGTGGTGCTGACATGATTGTCAGGAGAGCCACCAAAGATCTTCCTCAGTTTCCAGGCCCAACCTGATGTTCTTACTCCTATCTTTGGAGAGGGAACCCATGGCAGCCTCTTGGCCATGGCTGCCTTCTCCCTGGGGCTCACCATTCCTCACGTACAAGGCAGCTCCACCTCAGAAAAGTGGACAAGTGTTGATTAAATGTCTAGAGAAAACTCGAAGAAACACTGAGCTTGTTGTTTTATGAGTAAAACTACCTTCTCATGTTTAATTATTATTATTCATAGTAGGCGCAAGTGTACTGCAGTCTATCCATTTTGTTTGCTATAGGCCTGTCAAAGGCCATGGTGAGCTGCCCCCCCCAAAATACTTCCATCAAGATAAATACTAGACTAGACAGTAGTCAAATGTATCCTAAAATCAAGCAGGAATTAGCCTTTATTGGAAGTGGGGGGTGAGATGCATATTGCAGCTGCTCCAGCATAGCTTTGAGAACTGCAGTTATTTTCCTGTGTTTTTCTTTGTGTTCCCCAGGTCAGTTTTACTCTAATGAACGTCTTCAAAGACACAGCAATAGAAAGAAGATGTTGACTGTACGAGGACAATCGTATAGTTTCACAAGGTAAAAGCCACAGAAAAACACTTGTTGTAGACTATATGAGTGAGTGTGTGTGTGTGTGTGTGTGTGTGTGTGTGTGTATGAGAAACTTGTTAAGATATCCGTACTTTGTCTTCTTTTCTCTAGCTAAAAATGCCCAGGTACCCTGAGCTTCTCTTTCACCACATACCTTACACTGCTCTGCAATTTGGGAGGGGGCGGTATTTTACATGAAGAAGAATGTTGAAAGTGATAATAAAATATAGAAAATTGGAAGTGTTTTTCTGCAAATGCAGCTCAAAACAGTGTTGTCATGTATTTTCATAACAGCAAAGTATTTGTGGCCCTTTAGGAACCTCAAGGAACAACCCACACCTTTTCTATGCACAAAAAAATATATTCGGTATTTTATGCTTGAAATGCAACTTTCCCCCAATTCAAAAATTTTGAGTCATCCCCATGCCTTTCAGGTCTTCAGCACATTCATTAACCTCCCCTTTGTTACTAGCTTTCCTCGGCCAGTTGCCCCAGTCTTTGCCAATGAAAAAAAGTTACCCTTTGTGAAGGAGCTTGTGAAGTTAACATCAATGGGGAGGGCTTATTGAGTCCTTGGACCCAATGTCATGCCAACCCTTACCCTGCTTGCTGCTGTCAATAAATATTTTATCTCATCACCATTGTGCAGTCTTGTTGTTTTGCTGCTCTCATGAGTCACATAATGTGCCTGATCTGGGCAAATGAATTTTGCTATGCAGTTCTCCAACCAACCAATATTTACAAAAATGCATATATTAGGGGGAAATGTGCATACAAATGTTAGTGAAAATGACATACGGAATGCATTATATTAGAGGAAATTGCTTTCAAAAATGTGTAAGAAACACATCCCAAAATGTGTTTATTAGGAGAAATTTGCATTGAATGTTGATGAATCTTCATGAGGATTTTTCATTCTTATATTGTGAATTGCTGCACAAATGTGGAAGGCTGAATTTAAGATGGAAAAAAATGAGAAATGGAGAGAAGTGAAACTGGCAGATCCTTTCATTCCTAGCTCTTCCCATTTGCAAAGGAAAGGTTTTTGCTAGCAAAAATTGGGGGAAAGGCTGTAAATGCAGTCACATTAAAACAAAAATCATTTGCAGGGGAATAACTGAGAAGACCATGTGACTTTCAAGGGGGCTTTTACTTTGAATGGGAACTCATTGATCTTTTTTCTTTCATTTTAAAGGCAAAACAAGAAAGATTACAGGATTGAACAGGGAGCCAATGTCAATTTTACCTGCTGGTCACTGGATATAACTTCTTGAAGAACAGCATTTAAAGCAGTAAAAATGTCCATCTTTTGTATTAAGTGTAACTATTACATTTCATTTCAGTGATAACTATTAAAATTGTAAAGGGATGTTTGTCCTCTGTTTCATCATATTTTAAACTGTAGTGACCCTCGACAAGCGTGGGAGGTTGTAGCAGCATGCAAGACTTTCTTAAATGTTGATTTAAGAGCCAGTATCTATTGGAAGCCACAATCTCCTGATTGGGAAGTATTAATTTTTGGAGGGAGGCTTAGGTGGCAACTGGAGTGCCTGTGTAACTTACTCAATTTCTGATTATGTAAGCCCCAGAATTACCTAACTCCGGAGTTCAGCAACATGACAAGTTCAGTAACATTGCTGAGTTCAGTAACATGACAAGTCAATAACATGACAACACCATCCATTTGTGGCCCCATGCTCTTTTTTCACCCCTTGCATTTGAAAGCAGCGGATTATATGCAGTTAGTGCCCTCTACTGATGGAAGACTCTCCAATACACCCTCCAATACACAGTTTCTCCTGCAGCCCCAACCCCCTCCTGGTCTGCAATGGAGGGTCAGGAGATCCTTCAAAATAGCTTGGGAGGTGGTGTTGGGTTGCAAGGAGGCAAGGGAAATCATAAAAAAGCCACAGGAAGGTCAAGTGCTCAACAAACAGGAATGTTAGGATAATTGTTCAACTGAATTGCTTTGCAGCATACAACATTCTGAACTGTAAGTGCCACTATGTAGTTCATCAAATATTCTTCTATTGTTATAGAATTGGGGGGTTCATTGTGCCTGGGAGTCTCAACCGTCTACAAAACTGGGGCCTATACAAGAGGAAACCAGCTTCCTTGTAATATGATGGCCCTAGCTGGCCCAGCTAAGTATCCCCATTTCCATTACCAGGCTCTATGGAGAGGTGACCATGTTCCATGGAGACAACTGAGCGATTAGGTCCTTCAGGAAAGGGGAGGCATTTTTCCCACCTCCTCACCTGACTGGAGGTGACACCATCTTGTAAGGAGGAGAACAATAGCCAGGACTAGTCTGCCTGTTAGTGTTGACTTGGAATGGCTGCTTACCCTGCTGGGGGTGGACAGTGGTTTCGGCCCATCACAGCCTTTTCCTCCACCCCTGAGGAGAGGGGTAAGAGTCGAGTCTTCACAGCCGACCTTTGGGTCCTCTCCCAGCTGCCTGCTTTGGATGGCAGGATAGATTTCCAACACACACACACAAATTGAACTGCCCAACCAGGAGCAGGCAAGGAGCTGGAGTCTAGATGATGGACCAGAGTCAGGAAGTCTTCATTCCGGTCCACTGCCTGGGAATAAAAGCTGGCTGTGCTCTTGCCACTCGGTGCAGTTGGATAAGGCATTGGGTGGGATGGTAACCCATTGAAGGGTTTGGGATGAATTGGTGCATCATCCCAACCTAAAGCAGGTGCAATATCAGGGTACCGTGTTAGAGGGGTCTAAGTGGAAGTCTCTGTCCAAAAGCCAAGTCTGGGGCAGATAAACTATAGAGCTTCCACCTAGAATTAAGGTAATTTTCATGCTGGGCACCAATGGGCGAAAACACAAATTCCTCCAGTTATACATGGGAGGAAGTTGTTTTTCTGTAAGGGAAGAAAGGTACTTAGCCAAAACCAGAACCGCCATGCTTTATTGGTTTTACAGCTCAGAATTATAACCACATTTGGAACTGAGACACTGTTCTGGAACATAAAATAGAAGAGATCCATGTATGTTTGTAACAAAATTGGTCATTATAATACCAGCCTGCGCCCAATAACTACTGCTCTACTCGAATCATCCACTACGCAGCTAAGAAAGGTCAAAAAGCAAACAAGCCCCCCCCCATATAAAAATAAGTGCCTTTCTTTCAAGACAAGTTCTCTTGTTAATTAGGAATTAAAGGAATTAACAGCGCAAGTAATAAGACTGGTGCATGTGGAAGCAAAATAAGGGGTTTAGTATTCCATGTATATTTGCTGCAGATCTTGAAATTGGCAGTCAGCCAAAGACACTCTTCGGAGGCTCTTCTTTGGGTTTATCAAATACCGTTTCCCCCCCTGTGCGGTCTCGGCTGAATATGGATGGTGCAGCAGAGCCAGCTTGCTCTGGAAAAAGAACCGGAGACAATTAATACCGCAGCAAGAAGGCTTCACACTCAACAGCAGCTGTGAAAAGGTTCCCTGAAATATACATAATGTCACACACCCAGGGGGTTGTGTGTACAGAAATGCTGGATACTTGGACCTCATTGGCAGATGCGCTTTTTTAAAAAATACAATACATTTATCTACAGAAGTGACCTATCCTCTCCATCTTGAAAAGCTTCCCCTGAGAAGATAAGGCCGGAATATTTACCATTTAGTGTTTAATGTAGATGGCCAGTTATAGTTTTTTTGGGTTGTGTGTGCCCTGGGAGCATAGTGTTATGGCAAAAGTAGCGTAATCCTGCAAACAGCATTATGATCATAGTATAAAACCTATCATGGAGGGGAGAATCTTGCTTTCATGGCTATATCTGCTAGGAAAGAAAGACCTTGTGTGGGGTTGGGGATGTTTCTTTTAATGGGGAAAGAGAAGGCCTATACTCAGTTGGCACATGTTCTGGAGAAAACGGAGAGAGAGAAAGAAAAATGTTTTTGTAACCACAAGACATTGTTGCATAAAAGGGGCACCCGTTCATGGTTTATGTTTCATTTCTAATGGGATACAGTCTAGCTTTCCAAAATGTGTGTCGTGACACGTGAGTGTGTCAGCTGCAGTGTGTAGGTGTGTCGTGTGAACGCTCCCCGTGCTCCTCCCGGGGCTGGAAAGGGGTTAGTTTAACCTCCTGTTTGCTAGTAAGACTAAATTACTCTATCGCGAAATGATGCATGTCTAAAAGATGCTTCACCAACATGAAAGGCCAGTTGTAAGCAGAACTTTGATTCACATGCAGTTGGCAACATGTGCCTCTAGTATCTACTTAGCGTTGGATTTTGAGTAATTTGCTGTTTAAAGGACTATTCAAGCATCTATTCTTCCAGCTCTCAGGTTACATTATATCACAGAAAGGATCGCAGTAGACACTCACCACATTGCTTCATGACTTGGTAGGTTTTGGATTTGATTTCCTGGTTGCCAGAGAGCTTCCCTCTAGCCCCTTTGAGATCTTCTTCCTTTACTGGAGGGCGCTTCTTCTTCACAGGAGCTGGCTAAAAAGGAATACATTTGTATAAATGTATGGAGCAGCATAACTTCAACAGAGGTAACTTGCTGCCTTATCCATTTTAAGCATCTTATCACCTGGCCACTATCCTTCAGGTAACCACATTTATTTTTAGCATTAAATGTGCATTAAATGTGCATTAAATGTAGTTGACCACCTTTGTCATGTTTTATTTAGAAATCTTTAAGATACCATTTTAGTTTCCTGTTAGTTATGTTGCTTTGGATGTATACCGTATACATTATTCAGTAATGTTTTATTTTTGATTTATTTGATGTTTTAATGTAGGCTGTAAACCACTTTGAGATTCCCTCCCCCTTATAAATATAAAGTGGTATAGAAATGCAATGAATACTAACACTAACAACAACAACAACAACAACAACAACAACAACAACAACAACAGATTTAAGCTTATTGGGCAAGGAACTTTATGTAAATTTGGGGGACTATGTCAATTGATGGTGCTGTGTAATGAGGAGAAGGTGATGTCAATGCACAAGAGTAGCTGTTGCCCATGTCCTGTCCTTAAGGGTGTGTGTACAGATTGGGCACTGTGTTCTACACACTGGGAAGCACCTAATATAAAAATAAACTTGATGCATTTTAACTTGCCCCAGTTCAGCTTTCTAGTGTAATTGCTTTGGAAAACAGAAGAAAGATGCCACCACTTTGTGTGCACATTTTTTGGAAGTAAATTCTATTTTTGGTTTTGTTTAACTTGGTGGTCCTGAACATATCCACTTTGAGATTTTCTCGAATGCAAAATCATTTCTCTTTGCCCATAATAAGTGGGAGGTACTCTTTTTGCTAAATCAACAATAAGGCTGGCATGTTCATCTTGGTATAGAGTAGACATAAATTGGTATGGCACAAAACCCCTCAAATTGTCTTACTTTATTGACTTACACAATAAAGACCTTTAAATACAGCAAAGCAAAAGATTTGTAGCAATGGAGATGTCTACATATTTAAAGAATGCATGGGAATAGCTTGCTTCCAGTTTACTGTGGGAACCAAATAAAAAAAAAGAAAAACCAGACCCCTAGGGAAGCAAAGAACAGCGTCAGGCAAAGAACAAATTAAAGGCTGACTTTTAAAAGCTTGCTTTTCAAAAACTGTCCAGCAGCAATGGGCAAACAGTGACGGCATTCAAATATTTTGTGTTCCCTGAACCAGGAGGACCTATTGAAGGCCTGAACACTTGGGAAGGAATATGTTGTCATGCTAGTAGGATAGTTCCATATGGCAAGCAGAAATGCTTAGGCTAAGAGAATGATTTCCCCTTTCCTCTCCCACATGCTGTTCTAGGGGTTCTCCTGACCCACATGCAAGCCAATTTGTGGGGGCACATAGGGGGAGGAGAAGAGGAAGCCCTGTTGCACTAGCAAGACCCAGGTCATGGCTTCTGCTAGTGTGTCTGTTTAGTTGAATCTGGCCCATATTTCACACTATGGCTGTAGCTCAATGGTAGAGCATTTGCTTTGCATGCAGAAGGTCCCAGGTTCAGGTCCCAGCATCTGCAGGTGGGGCTGGGAATTTTCACTGCCAGAAACCCTGGACAACCACTGCTGGCCAGTGTAGAAAGTGTACTGAGCTCAATGAACCAGTGCTCTGACTCAGGTCTAGTCTGCCCTTTAAAGTTGCCAAATGGTGTCTATTTTCAAAGCACTCGGTGTGACAGTTATCATGTGACCGACCATTACTGTAGAGTCTTGTGGCATCTTAAAGATGAATAAATCATTGTATAAGCTTCTGTGGACTAGGGGTTCTTTCAGATGGTCAGTTTACTGAGTATTCATCCTGATCTGTTTGCAGAAAGGTTAGACAATGTGGGCTGTTTAACGAGCATTTATTCTAATGTGGTTGTGGGGAGGTTAGACAATGCTGTATCAAAACAAGTGTTTTCTCACAGTTCTCTGGGCATTTTCCAGCCACCTTTCTTATTGCAAAAGCTTGCTCTTTCAGGGAAGTGAGATTGTGGCACAAGAACTACCAATAATTGTGGAAAGTGAATCTGCATGTGTGTGGCTGAACCCCCAAAATAGTGACAGCCTGGAATTGCCCTAGAGTCCACTTCACCAGGTGCAAGAAGTGGGATCTTTACTTGCTAGTTAACAAATGCATGCATCCAATAGTGGGCAATCAATGGACTAGGGGGATTGGCTAGTCTCCTTAATGTTCCTGGTAAAGGTTCCTCCTTTCCAAAGCCCAAGAAGCTTCTGCCCGGATTAGGCAGGGAGGCGCGATGCCCACATGCAGGACAGGACATATCCTCCCCCCATTGCCCTCAGAAGCTGGGGCCTCTGGCCCTAACTGACCCCCTACAAAAAAATTCACTGCACGCCACTGCATGCATAATAATAAAAAGTGTGTCTTTTAAAGATGCCATGAGACTCTTTGCTGTTTTCACTACCACAGATTTATAAAAGGTAAAGGTAAAAGTAAATGACCCCTGGTGTTGTGACGCTCATCTCGCTTTCAGGCAGAGGGAGCTGGCGTTTGTCCACAGACAGCTTTCTGGGTCATGTGGCCAGCAGGACTAAACTGCTTCTGGCGCAACGGGACACTGTGGTGGAAACCAGAGCGCACAGAAACACAGTTTACCTTCCCGCTGCAGTGGTACCTATTTATCTACTCGCACTGGTGTGCTTTCAAACTGCTAGGTTGGCAGGAGCTGGGACAGAGCAACGGGAGCTCACCCCGTCGCGGGGATTTGAACTGCCAACATTCCGACCAGCAAGCCCAAGAGGCTCAGTGGTTTAGATCACAGCGCCACTGCATCCCCACAGATTTATAATGCCTATAACTGAAGTACTTTTCTGCAGATCAGCCAACACCTGGTTGTGTCATGCTGGCACAGCCATTCCACAGGAGCAACTCACCCATGTTGTAAACAACCAAATGAGTTAAAAGCAGACCCCATGAGATCAGGGAACTTGCAGACCTAGCCCTACCTCCTTTCCCCCATGGTAGAAAAGCAATCAACAAGCACTACAGACCAGAGAGATCAGCAGCTCTGCTGGCATCAAGACCATAATACGATTCCTGCCAGTGAACACATTATTTCCAGTGTTAATGAAGTGACAAATTTAGTCATGGGCAAAGCTTTCAGCCTGCAACCATTCCTGTGCTTGCCATACCAACAATCTATCCTACCATTTATCTGAAACTGTGGCAGGGAAATGAGTGTTTGTTTAGAACATCTCTAGTATTCCTTCAGTTAATATTTACTTTGAACAGACACTAAGCAGAACAAAATTCCTAGGCACAGCCTCCTAAAGCAGCTTCTGAATAGTTGCTGCCTGTGTGCCTAATCTGCTCCAAGATTCCCTTTCGTCCTAGCCCTGACATAATTGGTTCCATTAGGAAAGCATGGTTTGCCTCCATATGATGAAAATCCCTATCTTGCCATATTTTGAAGAGCAAAAAAGAGGATGCTATGATGGCCATTCAGAGCAGGTTAAGTGCAATCTGTCTCAAATTGTACCCTTGAAAAAGAGGATCTGTCCTGGAAAAAGAGAACACATAGCAATCCGACATACAAGGCAGCTCTACACTCTGAACCCTTGTTAGCATAATGTTCCCCTGCAAAAAAACACCCACCTCATCTTGAAAGATGGATAGGAAGAAACGTTCAGCTTTACAAATTGTCCAACCAACTGTTAAGTACTGTAAAACATTTGCCTCAACAGCAAACTTTATTCTGTTGTCAGAAGTTAGCAGAACGTTATGTCATTAAGACTGAGCTATCATTGCTCAAGCAAAGCTGAACACGCACATAACCCCAAGATTAAAGAATTCTATAAAAATATTAGCATGTATTAAAACACTAGACCTATATCCTTAAATGTATTCATTGATACTGGAAGGGGGAAAGCAGGATAGCAGGAGAAAGCTAAAAACACATTTTTCTTAGTCCCCAAAACTTGCTAGAATAGTTAATTGCTGAACCCAAGAACCCAAAGCTGTGGAGCACCAGCTTTGCCAATTCAGTTTGCAGCTATAGCATTGACAGAGCTGCAGATAAGCACAATGCTAACCAGTATTAATGCTAGAAAAACAAAGGAAAAAATAAAAGCTATTTATACCTGTGACATCGCTGCAGCACTTGCACTAAGAGTACCAGTAGTCTCCTTGTTTAAAATCCAAAGGCTGAAGTAGTCGGCTTTCTCTAACTTTTATAGACTCTTGTGTGAGGTCAGTCTACTGGGTCATCTTCCCAATCTAGTTCCTGGAGTGTTTGAGGTTGACACAGCCTTGATGTTGAGAGGTTTATTCTTAGCGGTGACTGAGGTTCACAGCATTTACTGAGCTGCGTGGCTGAAGCGAGAAGAACCACACAAGTGACAAGAAAAGACAGCTGGGCCAGCAGAACTATGTGGAAGTCTTGTCCTTTCTGCTTGAACAAGTACTTGTTCCAAGGGAACCCTCCGAGCCTCTATTTATAGCCTTAAAGGGCAGTGCTTTGTGTTGCAGATGCTCAATTTAGGCTGCAGTATTAGGCATACATACACAAATCTCATGGAAAGCCAGTAGGGCAGAACTAGTTGTAATGAGGGTTAAAAGGAGTCTTTCCCCCACTGCTCCATAAAGTTGGGGTAGGGACACTCACTGTGGAGAAAATTTAAGTGGGGAAAATGAGGTGCTTGAACTTCCCAGTTGCTAATTCTCCTCAGCAAAAAGTCAATCTTCTGGGCCATTTTAATATCAATTTCCACTACTCTCTCCAGCTGAATTCCAAAAGCAAAAGTAGGCCTTGCTGAGATAAGTACAGCTGAGGGGAAGGGGATATTGATGAAGGCAAACAAGCCAAAACTTCAGCTAGACAAGCTGTTGATTAGGAACTCGAATTCTGGATGGATATATTTAACCTGTCTTAGATGATGTTATACCTTTCCTGAAGTACCAAGTACAGTGGTACCTCGGGTTAAGTACTTAATTCGTTCCGGAGGTCTGTTCTTAACCTGAAACTGTTCTTAAACTGAAGCACCACTTTAGCTAATGGGGCCTCCTGCTGCCGCCACCGCCCAATTTCTGTTCTTATCCTGAAGCAAAGTTCTTAACCTGAGGTAATATTTCTGGGTTAGCGGAGTCTGTAACCTGAAGCGTATGTAACCCGAGGTACCACTGTACAGCTTTGGGGGTTATCCTACAAACTGGCACTATCTCTGTGTACACACATGGTCTCAGTGGTTGGGAATACCTTTGCCAGCTTCAACTGCTTTGCTAACTGCAGCAACCCTACCTGGAGAAAGGGAACCAGGTCTCAGGCGTAACTCATGCACTGAGTCCATTTACACTGGACTCCCTCAGTGCTCTTCATGTGGGGCCATCTTCAACAAAATAGTTAAGAAATGACCATTGGGTTACCAGATTCGACCCCTTTGCAGTATCTGCTACCGCCAGTTAACTGTATCTTAAATAAATCCAATATGCAGGTAATGAAGTGAAGAGACCTAGGGACATTTTTTTATTAAGTCAAAACTTTATTGTAAACCATGATTTAGGTACATAACATTCTTTCCATTTTAATGAAACACCATAAGTTAAACATGATCCGGAGGACATCTTGACTTGCATTTTTAACTTCAAGGGACCTACTTTTTATTTCGAATCCCAGATGCACCCAAAAATCCTAATTGCAAAGAATATCCCTTAAAAAAACAAAAACACATTTGCTTTGTAAAACCATAGTAATTTCCTGTCATTTAACTGGAAACTTTTACAAAAGTTTTGATGTATTGCAAGTTTCCTATCGGCCGATGTGGCTGGTTTTGTTGCGTCCACCACCACACTGCTTTTGTACGGATGCTGCAATCTGCAATTAGCCATGCACAGGGGCGAAGATGCCCAGATTTCAAAATAGGAAATGTTAAGGCTGAACAGCCCTCCTCCCACCGCTTTCCTTCCAGCAAGGCATAGCTGGAAACCAAGCACATGCTTGTGAGGGGAATGCCTTTGGAACACTTTGCATTGCTGTAGTTCGGTTCACAAATCAACGAGTATGAGGTCTTTTCCCTGAAGAGAAGCTTGTCACACATTTTTTTCCAGCAACATTAACACACAGCATTTCATTTAAAGATAGTATGGGAGACACTAATATGTTTAAAAACAGAAAATGATGACTACATAACCACCACAGGATGTCCAAAATAATTATGTCGGGCACATGATATCATGCACAGTCAATGAGGCAAATCACGGTCTGTTTCATTTTTGGATCTCATCCATTTGGCAAGGGGAAACTGATAGTCTCTCCATTGAATTCAGCACACGGTACTATTTTTGTTTTAAGCGTAGAAAGAACTGGACCACATTAGTCACATTAGAATCAGGTTTCTCAAGCACAGACTGAAGTACACTTTTTTGTGACGAGCTCTTTACAAATTGACCTTCAGAGTTCCACTTAGGTTTTGCCTACTTCCTCTGCCCTCTTCAAACTGCCACAACTCAATGAAGAGCAAGCCAATACACCCAAAATCAATTTAAGTGCAAGCAAAAATGCAGCACTGTAAAGAACAAAACATTAACCAATTTCAGCTAGGCTGTATCCTGCCCCTGCCCCCATTCAAAACTATTGTTCCTTTATTCTATTGCACCTTTCCAAAAGTAATTAGTTTGTTTTACAGAAGAGCTTAGAGCAAAATTCAAGCCATTCTCCAACTTCTTCACATGTTAACTCTGATGTGATGTAGCAATGAGCACTAGCTTTGACAGCTTTATGGATGTTTACAGACAACTGATCTAACAGCTGTGACAACCATGCAGGACCTCTGTATAGAAGCAGTGTGTACCTCTAAATACCAGCTAAGCAGAAGGCCATTAATTTGATGTCCCATGTAACAGCTAAAGCAGCCTTTCTCAACCTTGGGTCCTCAGACATTGTTGGACTACAACTCCCAGCATCCCTAGCCAGCAGGGCCTGTGGTCAGGGATTATGGGAGTTGTAGTCCAACAACAAATGGGGAGCCAAAGTTGAGAAAGGCTGGCCTAGAGGAATCTGACTGCTGTGGGAAACATAGATCTAGATGCGACCCACAAAGGCAATTTTTATTGTTCTTAAATGTGGTCCATGCACAATTGACATCTGAGCATTTTAAACCCATCTTTGGCCAGTACTGCTTCAGCATGTCAAGCTACAAGACACAAAAAGCACCATGAAATACAACAATGCAGCAAAAAAGCTGAACAGAGTACCCTTTATTCTTTAGGTTTTTGAATTAAGCTGCTCTCCGATGCCTCATGCTATTCTATAAAATGGTAAATCTGAGGTCTCCTCCAAGTTGGAATATTTAACACAATTAAGGCTTTGGGTTCATTTTTTACAATTCCCCATCCCAACACTGTTTAAAACAGACATTTCATGTAACTGAAGCCACAGGAAGAAATGAATAAAGTTAAGCTTTTGGATTTAGTCAGCTAGGTATTATTAAACTGAAAAATAAATAAATGGCCTACGGTTTCATCTCGGTTTGTTTCACTACCTCAGGTAAAGTAAGTTAAATTGACAAATCATATCCGTATCTGCCATTCTGCAGAAATGAGATGTCATCCACACAATTTTGAGTCCCTGAATGAACTTTTAAAAATAGATTACAGGTATGGACCACCCCATCGGCACAGGGACCCAAGAATGAAGGAGAGGAGAGGTGCTTTAATCCTTTCCCCTCTGCTGTGGCCCCAAGCCAGAGGAATCCCATACATGTTATTTGCATATAAATCTTACTGAGGATAAGGATGTGGATGTATTGGGGAGAAGGCCTCCCATAAACATCTAATTTGTCCCCAAGAATCTCACAAAGGCGTGATGGAACCTGCCTTCAGGTGTGATTCTTGACAGAACAGACATTTCCCCGCCTCCTAATAGAGGCTTCGCTTAACTTTATATTGAGATAAGCATCATTTCCCTTTGTTTTCAGCCTGAACACCAACATGTAACAACATGTATAGCAGATATGATGCTGTGCAAAAGAAACAACCCCCACCATTCATTATGTAGTTCTGAAACGCATCGCCCATTAAGATGCTTCTTATGGGCAGCAGGGCAAGTGAGGCAAATGTCGCTCCCCTCAGAACTACCGCCCTTAAGCTGGCAAAAAGCAACAATGGAGCCTTGCATTGTACCCCCCAAAGTCCAGTGATATCCCCCAACACCAGCTGCCCGTGTAGCCGACCACATTTAAGACAGACTACACATATAAAAACTGTAAAAAAATATATCTGAAAAGTCCGAGCTCCTGTCGTTGAAAGTGTTGTAAGGCTTGAAATACAGTCTGATATTCAGATACCATAAATTACAGATTTGCATCCCCCCATCCCCCAATTCTTATTCTGAAAACACTTTTGCTGTTTTGTTGCATCAAAGATTTAAATGAGCATGGAAAACTGCCAAACAGTAACTAGCATCAAAATAAGTGGTGGGCACCAAATCAGGTAGGCAAGTATTCCATTGACAAGAGAAATATTCTCAGTTACCATAGGACAGCAGAACAACAAAAGCAGCAACTACCATGATGTTGTTAATGGGTGAGTATATGCATTAGGTGCTGTTACCTCTGGCCTTATTTTGTTCTTAGGAAATTGAGGAATGAGTTACTGCTAAAAGTGATCGGCACACTTTGTAGCAGTAAGAAACGCTCTAAAGAAGAACAGAATTACAAATTCTGTTACATCACTATTCATAGCTGTCGATCACATGAAGGCCCAACTGTTATCGTTTCAAGGAAAGATTGTAATATCATATATATAGAAAAGGAATGTTGCTTCAGATTTGGAATAGTTAAGATATAGGCTCAGAAGACTTGCAAGCACTTAAGAAAACAACATTACTGAAGTCTCTAAAATGTTCAGCGACAAATAGAATTGCCAATTATTGTTGCTTTTATGCTAAAGTGCACAGGACCATGTATACACCAAATGGTCTTCAGGTCACAGAAGTGACCAGGGATTTAATCTGCCAACTACTTGCTGCCTTTCACTGTGTTTTGGTTTAGCCAGGCTTGCGCAGAGCTCCCATTCAAGGCCTTGTGTAACTAGTAGCCACTTGGCCACCATTTCCCTTTGTCACATGACTCTCCTTTATATGACAGATACCATGTATTTTTTTTTGCTGCAAGTTTTTGACCTTTTCACCACACACAGAAAGTAACAACATAATATTCTTTGACAAACACAATCCTTAAATATCCCAGTATGAAAATATAACTTAAATATAAAAGTTCAAATAGGTTAGAGGAGCTTTGGGGTAGGGGGGTGGGGCAACTTTGACAGCCGAAAGTACCCTTAAGAAGTAAAGTTACATAAGAATATTAAGTTACGATTTGTAACTGCAAAACTATTCTGTCCTAGGAATATGTTGCAAAAGCCTTTTTTTTTTTTTTTAGTAATAAAACATACTGATTCAAATGTTGTTAATCCGACGTCTCTCTCATAATATCGTTCAGGAACCATAGCAGAAACAATGGTGCTCTATGGTGCCTTTTTCAAAAGGGTCGAGTACAAATCGCCTTGGTAACAAGGATTTTTCCACCCATGATGAAAAGGTACTCTTGCATATTTGGTCAGTGTTTCCATAGTGCAACTGAACAGGTAGCTTTCCCCACTATCCATGTTCTGTTTCTTCTGAGTCAGTTTCCAGGCAATAAGCATAGGGTTGCCAAGTGAAAAATCCACTGTCCATAGAAGCATCTGTCACAAAACCTGCAAATGTGCAGGCCACAGAATCTGTCATACAGGCAGACCAAATCGATGCTTCTTTTTCTTTACAGACTTTAAGTTAGTCAGTCTCCGAAGATCCTCTTCAACATCTGATTCTTCCATTTCATCGTCTGCTGAAATTAGGATCTATAGGCAAAATTTTGATATGAAATTAGACAGAACTCGTATTTGTTTTCCCTCACTCACCCAAAAGTATCTTCAAATGCAAACACACTTTTAAAAGGGGGAGAGGGAAGCGTTGTAAGCTAAACAAGTAGTATGTATGACTCACTTGGGTCTTTAAGTAACTATTGACCTTGCCCTTTATCAACACCGCAAAAAGGAGTAGATACAGTACCATTATTGGAATAAAAGCAAAAGCTAAAGTTACATAAGGTTGCGCCATCACTCCCTTCCCATTTGTTTATTGCAAACTATAGGAATAGCAAATGCAGAACTTGCCTCTGACTCAGACTCTTCGTGTGAGGCTGCTCTCCTGTATCGAACTTTGCTTCCATTCCTTGAATCCTGCCCAGCTTCTTTTTCTTCAAGTTTAGCTTTTGTTTTCCCTTTCTTCATAAGGAAGTTATCAACTACCCAGAACATGAATGCCTGTTATGATGGAGAAGTCAATGTTAAGTGCCATCTGTCATTCAATCTATAAGACAGCAGTCATATTTAAGGGACTTACAGTAAAGACTGCATCTTCATCTATCTATCATCTATCTATCTATCTATCTATCTATCTATCATCTATCTATCTATCATCTATCTATCTATCTATCTATCTATCTATCTATCTATCTATCTATATATCTATATCTATCTATCTATCTATCTATCTATCTATCTATCTATCTCTATCTATCATCTATCTATCTATCTATCTATCTATCTATCTATCTATCTATCTATCATCTATCTATCTATCTACACACACACACACACACACACACACACACACACACTAATAAAGTTAAATGGGCCACCAAGAATGATGAGCACCTTAAACTTGTGTTCAGCAGCTTCAATTATAAAGAAAACCTGAAGGAGATGTTTCAAACAGGAGTAGTCAACTTGGTGCCCTCTCAGATGTTGTTGGATTCCAAATCCCATCAACCTCAGCTTTCCTGGTCGATGGCTAGGGATGATGGGAGTTATAGTCCACAACATCGGGAAGGTACCTCGTTGACAACCCAGGTGTAGCACATTTCACTACATGCTTAGAAAATAAAAATTTGGTTTTAGTGGATTAGAATATTGAACAAAAACTCATTTCTATATGAGAATTATTTATACCCACAGTGAATGTTCACATTTCTCCTGTACTCAGCAGGTAAGATAATGCAAAGAAAAAAAAAACCCAGAGTGCTACCAAGACAACAGAAGGACTAAAAACCTATCCACTTTTACATTTAGCAAACATTTATTTAAATTGTGTGCCCTCTGATGTGGCTCATGATTGAAAAAATAAAGAGTGGCAAACAGATTGACTGGAAATATGTGCCAGCTTCAGATTTGGTATTCACTGAAGACTCTGAGTTAGGACTTTGCTGCACTTTGAAGTGTCTTGCTGAATATTGATTAGATTATCCTTTAAATGTTTTAGTCACACATGTTATCAGATGTGAGATACATGAGATAGTGACCCATCTATTATAAATGCTGTTTCTGAAAAGATCAGCTGCACGAGGCCGCACATATTTCATTTATGAAAGTTGTTTATCTGAGTGCAGCAATGGGAGCACTGTGGTGTGTAAAAGCATCCTGTTGTCCTCCTGACTTGAGGCAAGATCTTAATTTTGACATACAAAACCTTATTCAATTTGTGCCTGGTGCAAAACTGCTTCCTCTTTTAAAATATTTCAAGAGCAAAAAGCCCCATGTCCAACTAGACTGTACACAGTTGCTCCCTTGGGCCTCTTGAAAAGTCAAACAATGGTCAAGTATTTTAAAACTGTAATTGTAACGGAGAAGCACATGAAATACAAAATACAGCTGGTTAACTTATGAAATAATGGCATTAAATAACCAAATATTGTAATTATTCATAGCTCCCAATGTTGTGTAAATATAAGTGCATATTGGCAGTATGGCAGCAATATTTAATGCTGTATTGTTTTTAACACTCGATTGGGAGCCGCCCAGATTGGGAGCCGCCCAGCCTATGGACAGAAACATACTGTTTGGCACAAAAAGCAAATAGTGCTACACTTAGTAATGTGATCATTGTTTAGTGTGCATCTGCACGTACTTCCAATGGAACGTGTGCAGATCTTCAGGAGCCTTTACTTGTGTAAGAAAAATGCCCCTTTAAAATAAGCACGCTTAGCTTCACGGAGTAGTTGAACACAGTCAAAGAACAGACAAGCAGCTCAATTTATGTGCCTCAATCTGAATGGGGTTAAAACAAATTTTAAAAATGATTTCTGATTATTCCCTACTTTTGAAAGCAAAGTGTGTGTGTGTGCATGGGGGGCGGTTCCCACTTATCCATTAATGTTCTTACAATCACCATCATGGAAGAGAAATCACTATTTCTTTGAAGAGGATTTAGAAATGATGAAAGAATTGATACCTGTCCTATAACTAAATGCTATGTTCAAGAGCCAATTAACCTTTTACAGTTTTATGGCATGAGCTTTTTATGTTCCGTCATGTGCCACTGCAATGTATTTTCACTCCCAAGTATAAATATTTTTAAACACACTAAATATCCAGAAAATGTTTGTTTATACCAACATTTACAAAGAAGGGGACTATTAGCATGACAATAGCCAGCTCCAACTGAGGATTCTTTATAGGATTCAATACAGCTACCTGCAAAGAGAGAAAGCAGCACATTAATATTATGGAAGTATATACATGTACAACTGAGTTTTCAGGTTATCTTTTTTCACTGTATGTGGCATCAAGTTAAAGGGACGTGGGCTTGGGAAGAGCTGAGGGGACAGAAAAGAAATAGTTTTTATTGAGTGAAATCCAACATTATGTGACTGAACTCTTTTCAGAGCATGAGAGGGCTGCAAGGAGGGAAAAGATGGTGAAGTCCTCTTGCAGGAGTGGAAGTCTGCTCCACTCATGCACAGATACCATCGGATGCAGCCTATAGCATAATGATGATATTAGGTTTGTTCTTAATTAAGATGTTAAGATGTGTACCTATTTCACTAGGGCCTGAAATAATAAATTGAACATTAAACATATTATTGCTTTAATCCACAATGATTAAAAAGCACTGTTGGTCAGCAACAAGTGTATTTTGAAATAAATGGCCTAGGAAATACTATTCAAAGCTCTGAATAGTGTTAGCTCCAAGAACCAGAGACCTCTGCATCTGGAACTTCTTTATATGAGGCAGACTGATAGTTGCAGGCCTTGCAATTTTCTAGTCAGCTTCATGAAAGCAGAATTCAGAAAAATGATAAAATTGGAAAAAGAGGGGTGGTGGAAACTGTATGTAGTTGCAGAACACATAGGCATGTCACCTGCTTCTAGATTACCAAGTGATCTATTAATTTTTCAGCACTTTAATATTTAGATGCTTGGCACTGCCCTAGAGTCTATGATAAGATCCTACTCACTATTTGGGAGTCTACCATCACATATACAGATTTTAGCCGACAATGTCATACCCAGAGAAGTCCCACTGACGTCAATGGACTTAAGCTTGCCATTGATTTCAGGTAGTCTACTTAGAGTATGACTTAGTTGAAAGAACCTGAGAGAATAAATTGTAACTGAAGCATCTACTCAACAGGACAGAAGGAAGGTTTTTGAATAAATGGTTATTCATACCCTACAGATGCAATATGGTATTTTACTATTAAGGCTTAGCCACCACAAATATTTTCATCAGGTCAGTTGTTAGCACAGGACTAGTCTCATTGAATTAAATTAAAGCACTGGTTACTATATGGTCTGTCTATCTCTCTATCTCTCTCTCTATCTAGTAAATATATGTATATCAAGACTCAAACCTCTTTCCACTGAGGTATTAGGAGAACTATGATGATGATGGTTTTCTCAAACATCATGATGACTATGTACAATGCACACTGGCCCACCCAAGCACTGCACTGAAGGGGGTCACCTACAAAACAAAACGCAAATGGTTAGCAAGCAAGCTTAAATCGCATCTGAGTAGCTAGGAAGACACTATGAAATCTTTAGCAAACTAGATTCTTGGTTGTCCCTTATTTGAAAACAAAACTGTTTAATCTCATTCTAAGACAGATTTACACGATTTCAGAAGTTGAAACTGAACACACACAAAGGTGGAATCATTCATTTCTCATGTGCCCTGAGGGCTCCTCTAACATTCTGTGTTTACAAAATGAGCCAACCCCTAAACAAAAAACCCCACCACCTTTCATATTGTGTCGTGTGGCAAATGGCTGCATCTTCTAATCAAAACTTAAAATGTAATACACACACTGTCTCTGGACTGAGCAAACGAAAAACAAAAACTAACCTCCTGTAATAGTGAATAACCAGTGACTGTTACAAAACACCAAACAGCTAACTGCAATAGCACTTATAACATTTTTTTGAAAAAAGGGTCTTCACGTTATCTGTGCCTTCTTACGACACGTGCGTGTTCAGCCTAATCCTGAAACCTTTCATCAAATCATCAAGGGTGCTGCCCATTCCTTCAAAGTTGTTAACAAAAATACTGAAAGGTAATGGACCCTTCACTAAACTTCTGCAAAATGTCACTGGGTAGCTTTTCACAGTTTAGTGCCCATACAAATGAGTCACTATTCTTCCTCTATGGAGGTCAAATCCGGGATTCGCAGCCATGGCTTCAAAAGAGAAGGCTTATAAGAAATGAGGGGACCAGTAAAATGAAAGTTCAAAAGAGACAAAACTCTCTAGAATACTTGAAGGTTATTCAAATCCATAATAACATAGCTGTCAACTCCCCCCCCCCTTTTAAGGGAAATTCCATTATTCCAATAAGATTCCTTGCAAGAAAAGGGAAAAGTTGACAGCTATGCAAAATAATTGAAGCTCAGCTGCAATGTATGCCCTAGATGTGGAAAGTGCCATCAAGCTCAGGAAGACACCAGCATAGTGAATGAGCAGCGTCAAATATACCAGAGGGCATTCCCCCAGAAAAATGGAAGCCTTGACAAAATGAGAAGAAAAAGGAACGCAAGAAGAAATGCTATCAAACAAAAAATGGGAAAGAAGGAAAAAATGGAAAGAAGAGATACCCACCATGGAAATTTGACAGAACAAATTGAAATAATACATAGAATTCGTAACTATGACTGATAAACTAAGGAATAAGGATGAGTTAAAGTCAGTATAGTTAAAGCTATGGTTTTCCCAGTAGTGATGTATGGAAGTGAGAGCTGGACCATAAAGAAAGCTGATTGCTGAAGAATTGATGCTTTTGAATTATGGTGCTGGAGGAGACTCTTGAGAGTCCCATGGACTGCAAGAAGATCAAACGTATCCATTCTTAAGGAAATCAGCCCTGAGTGCTCACTGGAAGGACAGATCGTGAAGCTGAGGCTCCAATATTTTGGCCACCTCATGAGAAGAGAAGACTCCCTGGAAAAGACCCTGATGTTGGGAAAGATGGAGGGCACAAGGAGAAGGGGACGACAGAGGACGAGATGGTTGGACAGTGTTCTCGAAGCTACCAACATGAGTTTGACCAAACTGCGGGAGGCAGTGGAAGACAGGAGTATCTGGCGTGCTCTGGTGCATGGGGTCAGGAAGAGTCGAACACGACTAAACAACAAAAGTAAGAGAAGAGTGGAGGTGTTTTGAGATTATCTTAGAGGGTACAATATACAATTTAACCTACAAGTAGGAGTTAACATATGAGCAGCAGATAACATCAGAAAGGAAGACCTGAAATGGTAACGGGTGAAACATCAGGCTATGCAGCAGATCAAGATTTCCCTAGAATGCCACAGAGAGATGGGTTGGGAAGTCTTAGGAAAAGAGATAAGTGATGGATGCTGTATGATGCGTATATAAAAGCTGTTAAAATTGCATAAATAAAAGGGTTTTTTTTAAAGAAAAGGAAAAGAAAACTGTGTTTTTTAGAAGCATATTACTAAAAAGCATTAAGAGCGATAATACTTTATCTAAATATATACCAGAAGCAGGAAATCAGCTAGGATGGGAGCTGGACCACCAAACAATGAAGGTATGCTAAAGGTGTCATGGCCCTGATGTTCAAACTTCTGGGGACGAGGCCAAGGATTCAGAATGGCAGAGGACATTTACCTCAGGGCCAGCCCCAGCTTCCCCCACTACTTCTCTGGCATGAGAAGGCAATGCTGTCCTCTTCTGACTTTAGCTCAGAAGCCTAGTGGAACCACAGTTGAGAAGGGTATATGAAGTTCTAAGCTTCGTATATTAATTTAAATTAACAAATCAGGACTGAACTGAGATGGTATCCACCCAAGAATTCTTCTTCTTTTTTATGTGAAATGGCTCATCTTCTAACAAAAAATATTTTAACTTTTCTCCACAAGCGACTTCTATACCTGAAGACTTGAAGGTGGTCCAGGGGAGGGGAGATCTTGGTATTTATAGGCCATACAGCAAATTGAACAGAATATTGCTGAAGAAGAATCAATATGGTTTTTACACAGGTTAGGTCCTGTGTCACTACATGTACAGTGGTACCTCAGGTTAAGTACTTAATTCGATCCGGAGGTCCGTACTTAACCTGAAACAGAAGCACGATTTCTGGGTTAGCGCAGTGTGTAACCTGAAGCGTATGCAACCTGAGGTACCACTGTATAGAGTTTTTTGAAAGTGTTGACAAGCATGTGGGTGGGGCTAAGGAACTCCATGCTGATCCAGTGGCTGATGTCACTCTGCAGGTAGAGGCCAGAGGGGCTTGGATGAGAAAAACCTCTGCCCAATCCAACTCCCCCAGCCCAGCACCAAGGAGGTTCAGGGGTGGGGCTAAGCAGCCTGAGCCACTGGATCGCAAACAGGCCCCCTTGTTGCCACACGTCTACAGTGGGCCCAGTTGTTGCACCAACTCCAGGTTGCCACGGCGATCTGACTGTTCCCCCTTACTGCTCCAGCCGACATGCTTGGCAGTACTGTGATTGTAACAGTGATCCTGTGGCTCCATTAGGCCCCATCGGACTGCACCTGAATCAAATGCCTTGTCGAAGTCCTTTCTATAACAACTAGCAGTTTTGGCAAAATAAGTGAACTAGACCATGGCATATTCAGTTTTAATTAACCCATATTAACTGCGACAAATTTTGCTCTGGGTATGCCCAAGCAGCTTCCTTATTTGCGTGGTTGTTTTCCCACATACAGAAGACAAGCTTGTTAAGATTGACACTATTCACTCCTCTCTAGTCTACTAGGATCATATCAATTTCTCAAATATAGCTGCTGTGCAACCCATCACATTCTCAATACTATTTACAATTATTTAGCTGAAGCCGCAATTGGATTCTTTGGAGTTTTTAATTATCTTACTGCTCTGGAGGGAAATGGACTACCTAAAACAGGCTAGTACAAATGTGGGTTTTTTAAAAAGCAAACAAACCCGGTGGAGTTGAGTCTTCCTGTTTACTCACATATGAGAATTGGATAAGAGGACGAAGCACCAGCAAAAATACGAGTTTTAAAAGCTTCTGCACATGATCTGATTTGCTGTAATGGTTCTCAATAAGCAGTGTCAGCACAACTAGAATGCAGCTATTTCTTATGATATTTCCCTCTCTGCTTTCAAGTCAGTTTCATGGTATCTTCAAATACAGACTAACAGCTGAGCCTGAGAACGCTGCAATGGAAACTCGAATACCTTCAAACAGCTGTAATGTGGAATGGGCCCTGGTCATTTCCTTTTCTGGCATGGCTTTGAAAGACATGCACCAGATATTTTACTTGCTGGTCTTGATGTTTATAATCTTTTTTTATGTCAGTGCTATATAACACTTGAGCACTTAACGCTTCGAAGTCTGGAAATTTCTAATAAAGAGTGTTACTGAAGTATATCCCATGCACCGCCAATTAAATATATAACTCTGTCTAGAGTTAATTACAGATTAATAAACATTTCAGCAATAAAAATTCAGGCCTCTTTCTCCAGTCCAGATTTTGAATTGGTATATTGGGAACCATCTCTCTTTGTTCAGTGGAATTTGAAATATACCCAAGCTCTCTTATTTGCAGGTTAGCACCCAGGAACACATGCATTTTTAATATATCTTAATGCTTTAATAGTTACATTAAAATATACAATCTTTGTATAGGATTTCTCTCATCCCTCCCCCTCAATGCTAGCATAGTTCCATTTTTCTATTGCTGTTCTCCACAGAGACACCGGAAGAGACAAACATTTCTATGTGGCTCCAAATACTCTCCTGCTCAAGATCCTTCAGGTCCCTTTTGGGAGCATCTTGCCAGAAAAGATGTCAGTCAGAAGGATATACAAGACACAGACCAACTCACTCCCAAACCCAATTTTCTTTTCCAATTGACACTCAATATTCTTTGTGGCTACCGGATGCAACTGAGCATGCTCATTTCTCATGGGGCACTGAGGAATTCTCTGTATTCCTGCAAACCTTGAAATTCTCCCACACAAAGACAGCAATCCGTCGTATATTTTCCTGGAGTCAACAAGACTCATGTTAAATTACTTGCATGTACTGTCATGTATAAATTTATGGGTGCCTCCTGTCACCAATGTAGCAAATCTCATTATTCCACAGTACCTTCAGATGCACACATCTCACAATTCCTATACAGTGGACCCTCCAGATACAAACTTGTACAGTGGACCCTCCAGATACAACGTGAGATGCCGCTTCTGCGCACGGCACAATAGAGCGTTTCTGAACATGCAGTGAAACCCAGAAGTGTACACTTCCAGGTTTGCCGTGTTCGCAACCCAAAAGTTACGTTACCCGAGGGTCCACTGTATAGAACGGAGCAAAGTGTGAAGCAAGAAGAAGGGGCACACTTAAAGAACACACTAAGCTGCCTTTCCCTTCTTTTTCTTCACATGTACTAAAGACGCGTGTGGCGCTGTGGGTAAAACCTCAGTGCCTAGGGCTTGCCGATCGCATGGTCGGCGGTTCGAATCCCCGC